TACGTTTCTTATGGACGACCTCATTTAGATTCTCGGGCTTATTAAACGATAACATCCTCCGTCACTTTTCTGCTGAGAAGATGTCTTTCACCTTCGAAAAAGAAAAAAGAAATGTGGGACGAATCACTTCTGGCGTAGGAGAAATTGTAGCTCGCGAACTTTCCAACGAGTTCATCGCGCGTTCACGTGTTGCACGTTATTACATAAGAACGTAGATCGCGCATATAGGCGCGACGCAAAGCGACATGTCACCCTCGTTACCCTCGTCTCATCCTTTTATTCCTCTCTTTCTTCCCGCTTTCTCTTTTTTCCTATTCGAGACGATTTATAATGGTTTCCAATCACCCGCGATTGTTATTCGATAAACGTGTAGCAAGGAAACTTATCTGAGATGGGAAAAAAGGATTAAAAAAAGAAACGAGGTAAACATTGCGCGAGATTTAATATTAATAAATGCTGAATCTCAACGAACCCGCGATGGATCACTGATTGAACGAGTCGGCGAGATCTTTTTCCTCGTTACGATCGCTCGATCAATTCCTTCACGTGTGCCGCGGATATTACGTAAGGGGGAAAAAGGCTACGTGCACTGTGTAATCTCTTACCCTTACCGCGATATTACCCCTGTTCCCTGTTGCGTATCCGCGCCAGAAAACCACAGAAGTGAATATCTCTTGCGATTTATACGGCATAAAATTACACGTCACGAAAGCTTCGGCTTTAAAGGCTGTTTACCCGATTGCATTTTTTTTCCTTCCCGGCGAGACCGAACGAGTAGTCTCTTGATGAGCGTAAACAGCGTTGTGTCGGATATAGTCTTGACTATACACGGGGTTAGCTTCTGATAATGAAGCGATGCAAGCCGGAAGACGGATCTAAAGATAGATGAAAGAATTATAGAATGAAATTTGTTTATGCGATGGATGGAAAGAAATTTGTGTTTCATAGACTATAATTAGCTTTCAGCGTAGATTTATTTTTACATCTTTCTCTTTTTTTTGTTCTTTCTACCCTTTTTTTTATTATTATTATATTCATGTTAGAAATTACTATGTACGTATAATAAAGAGAAAATATAGTATTATAGATTAAGTAAGAAAACAGATTTGTGTTCTCATGTTCACCACAATGAGTTCTATTTATTCAAACTTAGTGCGTGTTCACATGTGACGACTAGTCTTCCCCACCCTGGTGCGTTTTACACGGCCTCCGCGGCCTCCTCTTCTTCCAAGGTAAATTGCAAAGGCCGAGGGTGGATGTTTCGCGCTATTTATAATGTTTACAGTGGCCGACACGTTCAGAGGAGAGAGAAGCTATTTTGTGTTATTTACTGGTTGCTTAATTACAAGTTACCGCAGTCGCCCATAGGCGTGGTAATCGAGCGCGATTCCGCAACTACTGAAAAATCGAACAGTCCGGTGGAAAAAGAAAAGGGTGTAACCACGGTCGTGGCAGCGAATTATCGCCGTAGGGCGCGGTAGGAAACGATTTTGTAATAAACGTGAGTAATTTTTCCGCAAACATTTTCATTCTTTCGACGAGAGGAAGCGCCATTGTCGGTATCGGTATCGGTTAATCGCGTTGTACTATTTTACTTGGTCGTTTAAAAAGAGCGCTGTGGCAATTATCGAGCACGCATTACGTATCAGTAGTTCTGGGATCCCATTAAATCCGCGCCGCGTTTTATTCGATGGAAAAACTGTGACAGCAAAAAGCTGAATCATCGCTGAGGTAGCAACGAGGAACTTTTTGTTGCCCGTTGCTGCATGTTTTAAAAAGTATTAAACAAATATCAACCTGCAGAGAGATTTTATCCACGTTAGACAACGTAATTAAAGGAATATTTGGGTTTTGTTCCGATTTCAATACATTTGCTTCTAGCCAACAAGTATACACCGAAGAAAAATTTGTTTCTGTTGCAATTTGTTGCTACCTGTTTCTAATTTTTCTCTGACCCTATCGCTCCAACCGGAAATAGGTAGCAAGCAGCGACTTTTGTTACTGGCAACAGAAATACGAAGAAACATGCAGCATTTTCTCAAAACGTGAAACACTAACAGCAGGTTCCTGACTGTTGCCTCAGTGGGTACGCAGTTTATGCTCAAAACGAATGCACGTTGCGAACTTTCGTTTTGACGAATGAAACATCCGAAGAACGACGGTAGCTGTTCGAGTTTTCTGACGTATTTGTCAGAATGTTGGTTGGCCAGAAAACCCATCCACTATCAGCGTAATCAGCGTAACATATTTTCTCATCGACAGCATCTTTTATAATCTGACCTCGATATACGTACTTTGAATCAATCATCGTATATTACGTGCATGTAAACGCTCTTAAAAAATTGCCATCGTTGGACGGGCGATATTGCGCATGATTGTCGTCGTCATCGTTCGCCGCGGAAATGTTCGAAATCGCTCGCGGAGCGGTGTACGACGCATTAAAAATATTCACGCACGAGCGTACACACGTGCGTTAATAGTGATACATATATAGAACGGTAATCGTATCGCTCGATCAGAGATATTTTAACCACAAAACCCATGAGATGGCGTATCGTTTCCTTGGCCGTACGGTGTGTAGCCAGACAGAAAGTTATCGATCGATAACGGGTCGCCACATATTCGATATCGTTCAAACTCCAGCCAAGCATATTACGAGGCTGTCTCTTTTGTGCATCCATTCCTCGCTATAAAAGTCCTCAGACATATACCTTTGTTCACCGATCATTAACATCCTTTTGGGAACAAAGAGATCCGATGAACGAAGGGGTCTGTCTCTTCCGTCTGGCGGAATCACGGTTAGTTTGTAATTGTTCCACGTCGTTGTCGTTACGTTCAACCCGCGCGCACACCGTGCGTGCATTCGTGACAGGCAGTGTGTGTACGTGTATGTAATGATACAGCCTGAAATATTTTGAATCGGATGGAATATATGTCTATACAGAAAAATTCGCATCTCTTCGAATATAACTCGATGGTTAAAAAGTTAAACCCTTGGAAAGTCTCGATCAATTTTGAATCTTGATAGATCTTGAGTCTTTAACCACAGACATAGAGCTTCAGTAAGTCCTTTTGCAAATAGAGATAGGTGGGTGCTGTGGTTCCTATTGACAGATTTTATGAAATTAATATTCAATAAAATTCAGATTTTTGTTTTCTACGGTATGGACATTCGTAGAAAACAATTCTCATTAGCTATAAAAAGATTAAAAGTTTGATAAGTCTTGGAAGTATTGGAAGTCTTGATAGGATTCGAAGTTCTAAAAGTTCAGTGGGTACTCAATATAGTACATGTCTTATAGTACATAAGATATATACTTAAATACATATGTACGTAGTATTAAGATTATGTATAGGATATAAGGTATTTAATATCTGCTAAACTTCCTTAAACTTTGAAATCTATTATGACTCCAACATTTGTTAATTTTTTGGAGACCAATATTCAACGTTTGTCAAAAACTTTGAGTTTCATATATCGAATCATGTTCAAAGTAACTTGAATCTTCACGGTATGGAAAAAATGAAAATGCAGATGATCATTTCTACACGCAACACGCGCGTTATTACGCCTTTGATGTTATTAACTCAAGAGGTTTTCCTTTCTTAGATTTAACACTTGATTTTAGAGCTGACGAAATCGGGGAAGTATAACATAGAAATTAAACTTTCCTTAAATTTAATTCCCTTTACTGGAATTAAATTCCCTTAAACTGGGAATAAAAGAACAGTTTAGGAATTACATACTTATCGATAATATGTTTAAAACAGCTATGATAACATTCTGTAGTTGCGAACCACTGTGTTAAAAGTAACTAGCGGTTTTCCAAGGTTCGATTTGCTCGTAAAGCCTATCGGCTCGTTTGCTATGCGATACACGGTTCTCCATTCCTCTCCTCCTTTTCCTCCGTGTTTCATCTCTTGACTCGAGAATGCATAATCGCGGTATGATTCATAATACGTTTAAAAACACACGTGTTTTCGTCATAATTTGATATTATTATGACGTGTGTTAACAGTTATAATGAAATAAAAGGAGCATACATAATGAATAATTAATCGCACAATAAATTTTTCAAGAAACTTGTTTTTTTTTATGAAAACCTTACTATATTTCGCTATAAAATATGCATATTCTGATTAATCGAATCGTATGTATATGAGAAGCTTGAGATTTATTCTTTATATTTTATTTCGTATATACATTATATTATTAAGACACAGATAATACACGTTGAAATTTTAAGATATTATTTTGTATTCGAGCCGAACTCCGTACGTTATAACGAAGAGTTTCTACGTTTAAAATCGTTCGGTTTGCCATTCACTTTAATTCGTGAAATTCTTCGACCTTGCAGGGAAAACAACAGGAGGATTGCGTGCACGGTATTATTTCATCCACGATGCAGCATCCTGCATTCTTATGCAATAGCAGTGTTTAGTACAACGAGTCGCGTTTATTTTTTAATGAAGGAATTTGTTATTGACTGATAATCGGTTTTCTGCTAATTAATTAGCCAGTATCATTAAACGATGCAATTATGTAATATGTTGCAGCATATGTTGAGATTTCTTTTAAACTTTTTCTTCATTGAATAGTCCCAACGAAGGGTTGAATATAAAAGAAACATGAAATTATCAGCAAAGCTTTCCATTTGTACGTATATGCTTTGCAATACAACATGTATGACGAGTCGAAAAAATAAAGCTCGAATGAATCAAAACTGTTTCCTTCGTAAAGAAAATTCTTCGAATTACGTGTGGCCATGGAAATTTTTTGAAACAAGAGAAAAGTTATGAATTCAATAAACATCTACTTTTCTTGACTTTTTCTTTTTATGTAATTTATATTTAGGCCATCTTGGTATTTTCTATTCATGCAAAAAAAAAAAAGAATTTTTATAATAATGTGTTCTAGATATACAGATTTTTAATCATTTTTTTCAAATCGGATGTATAAGTAAAACATAAGTATTACTTAGTGTTCTTTCTTATTCTAGATATACCAGACATTCCTGAGAACATCAAGAATTTACGGGCACTTCAGGTGGCGGATTTCAGCAGTAATCCAATTCCAAGGTCAATAGGTTTGCCTAACATTTATCTCTTTTCGTTTGAAACACAGCTATTTATATTTCATTTTAAAAGTTGTTGAAAACATTTATTCTCAAAATTCAAGAAGGATTAAATTTGTCATTGCAGACTTCCAGCAGGGTTCGTGCAATTAAGAAACTTAACTGTTTTGGGACTCAATGATATGTCCCTTACGAATCTGCCGCCTGATTTCGGAAGGTAATAGCAACAAGAACTCGCTTTAATTGCATTCAAGCTTAGAATGATTTAATTGAATTACATCGTGTCTAGTACTAACAAGTTTGTGCACCGATTGTTCTCAGCTTGGAGGCGTTGCAGTCATTGGAGTTGAGAGAAAATTTGCTCAAATCCTTGCCGGAATCGCTTTCCCAACTTTATAAATTGGAGCGGCTGGATCTTGGTGACAATGACATTGAAGTTTTAGTAAGATAGATATTGAATTAACCATTGTAAAGGAAATTATGGACAAAATAGAATATTTGTTGTCTATTAACATAATATCTATTATAAATTTGGGACTTTTGTTTTAGCCAGCACATATAGGAAAATTACCAGCATTACAAGAATTATGGTTGGATCATAATCAATTGCAACATTTACCACCGGAAATCGGAGAATTGAAAACGTTAGCATGCCTAGACGTATCTGAAAACCGTCTGGAAGATCTTCCGGAAGAAATAGGAGGTTTAGAGTCTTTAACAGATTTGCATTTATCGCAAAATGTTATTGAAAAATTGCCTGATGGTCTTGGAGAATTACAGAAACTTACTATACTTAAAGTCGATCAAAATAGGCTTTCTACTCTAAATTCAAATATAGGCAGGTGAGATTAATTTTTTCTCCTATAAGGATCTTGATACCATAGAACTTGATAACAAAAACTGACGTTTACTCGTTGTAGGTGTGAGAACTTACAAGAATTAATTCTTACGGAAAATTTTCTCCTTGAACTGCCTGTAACTATAGGAAAACTTCATAATCTAAACAATTTAAATGTAGATAGAAACAGTTTGCAGTCGCTTCCTACGGAAATCGGTAAGAAAAGTGTCGTTTAGAACTTCAATTTATGTTAATATTTATTTATATTACTTTATAACATTAAAAATAATTTTTTATCGAATGTTATTATTTTTCTGTAGGAAATTTAAAACAATTGGGTGTACTGTCTTTAAGAGATAACAAACTGCAATATCTTCCTATCGAAGTTGGACAATGTACAGCTCTTCATGTGTTGGATGTCTCAGGCAATAGGTATATAATATAATCTTAAATATCTAAATTTCTTCATGTTTTGTTAACAATATTTAGTAATGATATTCGTTTTTCAGATTGCAGTACTTGCCATATTCCTTGATCAATTTGAACTTAAAGGCAGTATGGTTAAGTAAGAATCAAGCACAACCAATGCTTACTTTTCAGACAGACGTTGATGAGGAAACAGGGCAAGAAGTATTAATTTGTTTTCTTTTGCCACAATTGGAAATCCATCCAGATGGTTAGTAGATCTATTTCATGAAAGTATATTTCGGTACATTTAGTTATACTTTATGGATTATATGTTGCATGATTTGTGATTTAGATTCAGGAAGAATTGGTATGCTTGGTGGTATGAGAAATGTTGTTCAAGATGGCGAAATACGTGAGCTTGGTAGTAGCGATGATGAAGGCTGGCAAGAAAAAGAAGCGTCGCGAACGCATTCTGTGAAATTTACGGATGAACCTCCGGAAACTGATAAGGAGGTGAGCACGTTACATATGAGGAAATCTTCTAGACTTTTTAGATTTGCTATATCTAAGTTCAGAGTATTTTCGAGGTATTTAATGTGTTGGAAACGTTATTATTCTTACGACTCATTGTATTAAAATTATAACAAAAGATGAAACAAAAGCCTATTTTTTTCTAACCATTCACCTTTTTTTTTTTTAATTACGTAAATACAACGTTTGCACTTATTTCAGACACCATTCGTACGACAAAATACCCCTCATCCAAAAGAATTAAAAGCAAAAGCTCATAAATTATTTAGTAAAGGAAAAAATGACAGCCGATCAGCATCTACAGATGAGCAGGTAATTATTAATTTCATTTTTCGAGATATCATATACAACCTTTTTGTAACAGTTGTTAATAATATCTTTCAGGATGTTTCTCAAACATTTGGTTTGGATAAAACTGAGACTGATATTTCAACAAAGTCCAACGATTTGACTACAGAGACTATAGAGCAAGAATCATTAAAACCTGAATCTATAGAAAATGCACAAAAAGAAACCATACCTGGAATAGTAGCTGATAATGCAGATTTTCAGTCCAGCAATGAACCAGAAATAATTTTAACTAATCAATATATTACAGAATCTAATGCTGTAAGTATTTACGTTAATGCTAGTTTATTTATTTACTTATTTGTTTATTTATTTATTTATTTACTTATTTGTTACTGATTTATAAATTGTAAAAAATATTTTTTTAGGATGTGAGGACTGAAGGTTCAATATCTGAATCAAAGGATATAAATGACAAAGATGAGGAAGAATCTGAAAATGAAGAAACACAAAGACATGTCGAATTTTCTATCGTAGAAGGTATTGATTATGATGGTAGTGGTGATTCAAATAGACCAAATAGACTCCATCGTAGAGATACTCCACATCACTTGAAAAATAAACGAATCCACACAGCAATAGATAAAGAAAAAGTAGCTTCCATTATTGCACAGGTAATTATTATCTACCTAAAAAAAGCAACATGTTTAAAACTACTTAAATAATTACGATGAATTTTATACAGTTTTTAATATGTGGTAGGCACTTACGAAGAAAAATGACGAAATCTCCACATCCACGTCAGCACCTGCAGAACCCACAGAAAATTTTGACGCTCAAAGTCAAGGTAAAACAACTACGATTAGTATATCACCTTTTACCTGTTGCATTTCTTTATATCACCTTTAAATTTATCAAAATTAAATTAAATTATAATTCATATACCACGTATAAAATAAAATACTTGAAAAGGTAACATATATCTTTTCCGCGTAAACTGAATTAAATAACGAATCTTCCTAAACTTCCTAGCATCATTGCTTCGTAATCACTGGCATTAAATAGTCCATGATAAGATATTCCTTTCTGCTTCTGCTATCTTATCACTTATCCGTTATCAAACTCTAGTTATTTATCAAACTCGATGTAGCAAGTGTACACGCGTAGAAAAAAATTGCGAAGTGAAAATATTCAATTAAAAATTTCATCAACATTCTATATTGTGAAAAAAAAGTATAGTTAAAAATGCCAAAAAGATATAGATGTTTTGTAAGAAAAAAAAGAAAGGGTAAAAGTTAGTAAAACGTGATCCGATTACATAATTAAGTAGTAACGCCAATGAAATTTATTGTGTAGGTGCGATTTCTGATGCTGAGCCGACGATAGAAGTACGAGAAGAACAATACGAAATTCATATCGAAAGAACGACAGGTGGTCTTGGTTTATCAATAGCTGGTGGAATTGGTTCAACCCCTTTTAAGGGTGATGATGAAGGCATTTTTATTTCAAGAGTCACGGAAGGTAAAAATTGAGATAAAAAACCTATTTGTTTTCAGTCGTAGAATATGTCAATTATAAAGTTTCATGATATGGTCATTATATTTTCCTTTATAGGTGGACCTGCAGACTTAGCAGGTTTAAAAGTGGAGGATAAAGTATTGTCTGTAAATGGTGTTTCAGTTGTAAACGTAGGTCATTATGATGCTGTAGAAGTTTTGAAAGCTTGTGGACGTGTCCTTGTGTTAGTGGTTCAAAGAGAAGTTACGAGGATAGTGCCACCATATGAACAGGTACTATTTTATGAAACACAAATCATTTATGCTGTTATTAACATTATATTTAACAGGTATCGTCGAGAAAAGACTCAGCGTGCTCTAGTTTAAGTACCAGTAGAGCTCCAAGTGCGACGTCTCATGTTTCATCTACAGGTTTACCGCATAATTTAGAAAATGGTGATGCTTTACCTCATGATGCTATTAAGGTATATATTTTTTTAGATTTAATAGATGCAACATATACAATTTGAACTAAAGTGCAAAATTTAAAGATCAACAAATTTCTATTTTAATAAGTCTAAGAAAATCCCTGAACCTATATCATCAACAAAGGCGGGTAATGAACCAATGGTATCTGTTCTTGTTCACACAACATTAATACGGGACCAAAATGGACTTGGATTTAGTATTGCTGGTGGAGAGGGTTCTCCACCATTCAAAGACAATAGTGATGTAAGAGATTTATGAAAATATTTTATATTTATTTCTTTCGTTAATTATGCTTAGCAACTTTTTTCAAATATATAATGTTTAGGCGATATATATTTCAAGAATAACCGATGGTGGTGTGGCACAAAAAGATGGTAAATTATTAGTTGGAGACAAAGTAATATCTGTAAGTGTAATATTATTACACAAAATATTTTTTAATACAATTATAATTGTTTATCTTTCATATAATGGAATTATTTTATAGATTAATGGAGTTGAAATGAGAGGAGCCAAACATGAGCAAGCAGTTGCTTTATTAACAGGTTTGGAAAGATTCGTTCGATTAGTGGTCGAACGTGAAATTCCACTTTCGCAAGCAAATGCAGCCACAGTTGTAACACCTTCTGAAAAGTCACCACGAGTGATCGGTGCACCTAGACCATATACAGGATTATATAACGCCAATAGTTATATAGCAAATAGACCGGGTTACACCGGATATCGACGTTCTATCGATGCTGATAGGACTCTATCGCCAAGTCCTACTTCGAAAACGCCTCCGCCTATGAAAATTGAAACTACTGAGCTACCGAAAATGAATGGTGTTACAGAATCAGGAAATATTAAAAACGTTTCTTCGATATCACCAAGTCCGACAAATAGCCAACCACATCCACAACCTGCCCCTAGGCATAGCATTTCGCAACCTACAATTACACCCACGACAACTACAAGCTCAACGCCCACGTCTTCTACAGAACCTAGGTCAACCTCACCCCAGGAAGACATACAGGTACCGAAGCCTATCACCAACGAAGAATTTCAGGCCATGATACCTGCTCATTTCCTTCGTCCCCCTACTTCCTCACCATCACCAGATTCCCATCAAGGCCCTATCGTGACAGTGACAATAAAGCAGCCTGATAATCTACCTGGAGACGTCAATTTTCCTCCGGCTCCTACCACACTTGGTAAAGTTACTGAGACCATCACAAAGAGCACTCTCACCGAGACCGTCGTAACTAGGGTGACTGAAAATCAATTGGTACCACCAGTAATCATTGAGGTATGTGCTTGGTAGCTAGATGCATGGATTATGTTGCACATACATTTCGAAAAAAGTAATACAAATTGCTGAAAATATATTGTTTATCTTTTCAATTAACAAAAACCATGACGAAAAGGAAGTTTAGAAGTTTTATTTTATAATTTTTAAATATTACAATTATAATTATTTTTTCTTCGGTACTGGAATAGTTTGCACTTTTTAAATATTTTAGGTAAAAATTAAGTATTTAGTATTTGTAATGTATTAACTTATTTCCATGCTAGGATGATAATCGCAGTCCTACTAAATGTAAACATATTCCAATGCAATCAATTAATTAACTTCGGAATAATTACAATTTGAAAAATGGTGGTCAAATGGTTTTCTTCCTCTCATGCATGTTTAATTAAGAAATAAATTATAACATCATTCGTTATTTAAAAAAGGGCAATTTAAACATTGTTATGTACATTATTTATGCATATGTACGTTTCATTTCTATAACAAGTTATATTTCATTGCATGTCTATGTATTTGAAATTGATCGTTATTGATTTGATTCAGTAAATATAATTTCTCTGTGTGTGCATTATCAAACCATACATTAAAGTATTTGGTAGGAATTGGTTGTATGAAATGTTATATTATTTTATACCTTGGGTGCTTATTCTCTGGCATGGAAATAGGTAAGTAGTATAAGCTAAATATATATTCTTTCATCAAATACCAAATTATATGCATCCTCCACTATTATGAAATTCCATCTTTCATTCTTTAATATCCAGGGCATTATATTTTTAAAATAATTAACACGTGTAATTTAAACGAAATAATGATTCTATATATTCGATGTTTTAATGATTAAATATTAATTTTTAGGATGTAATTCTTGTAAAAGAAGGATCCCTAGGATTCAGTATTATTGGCGGTACAGATCATTCGTGTACTCCATTTGGTGCAAAAGAGCCTGGAATTTTTATATCTCATGTAAGTTTTCTGATAATCTTTGTTAATATTCAGAATTTGTATAATATACATTTGTTGTGCTAATATTAGGTTGTGCCTGGTGGTATAGCTGCAAAATCTGGTAAATTGAGAATGGGTGATAGGATACTAAAGGTAAATGGTACTGATGTAACAAAAGCTACTCATCAAGAGGCTGTGATGGAACTTTTGCGACCAGGCGATCAAATAGTGCTTACTGTCCAACATGATCCACTACCAGAAAATTATCAGGTAAGCTATTTATAATTTAATTACTATCTGCTTGTTAGTTATTGCACATATATAGAGGGTTTGCTTCTTAATTACAAAATAGCTTTTTCAATAAAACACGCTTATGAAAATGTAACTATAAATCACAAATTCACAATTAATGTTATCACGCTTAATTCTCAGAACTTACAATATTTTAATATTGAAGTTTGGGATCAACACTAGTCAAAATTCGTAAACGCGCATACATTTAGAATACTTAAATATATACATAAAATAGTATCGCCAGTTAAATAAATAATAGAATAGAATCAGTTCATTCATTGATACTTAATGCATTATATTCACCAGTGAAATGTTTATCATTTGCAAACTGGCACTCAAGTGCTTCACTTATAACTGTTTTGTTGTGGCATTTCCTAATGCTGTTATTTATAATTTGTCCTACAAGCTGGTCGAAATAGAGTACATCCCTGTGACAGTAAGTACTCAATTAATTTGACCTGTTATTATTTTATTTTTTGATACCACGCTTTGCCCTCTGTTAAGGCTGCAAGTAAGCTCAGCACTGAATCACGAGCAATTGCTTTTCTGCCTAGGCTGAGATTATATAGAATTTAAAACTTTTTTTACTTGCTTTATATGCTTTATGGTAAATTAAAAGAATTATGTAATACAACAGTCATACATTATGTATTCATAATTTTTATAAGTATATTATATTGAAAATAAAACTAGGAAATATTTTGTAAAAAGTAAGCAAAGCAATATGTAAAAGATGGTAAAGGTATATTTAAAAATAATGTAATATTTTAGGAATTAGTTATTACAAAAGAACCAGGCGAAAAATTGGGCATGCACATTAAAGGAGGACTTCGAGGACAAAAAGGAAATCCCCTTGATCATACAGATGAAGGGGTGTTTATATCCAAAATCAATTCAGGTGGTGCAGCTAAAAGAGATGGAAGACTGAAGGTAAAATTTAATTCTCATTATAAGAATAAGAGTTTTATGTAATAATTTTTTATACTATGTTTTTGATATTAGGTTGGAATGAGACTACTAGAAGTCAATGGGACGTCGCTGTTAGGTGCGACTCATCAGGAAGCAGTAAATATATTACGGTGTTCAGGAAACACAATTACGTTAGTAGTTTGTAAAGGATATGATAAAAGTGAAATCGAGCCAGTATTGCCATTATCCGATGGTAGAGATTCTAAAGAATCTAGGTCATCCAAGGAATTGAAGGATCCTGCAACAGAAGGTACTAAATCATTATCGCAAAGTATATCTAGTTTGGATCGCGATGATGAAGAAGCAGCAACTCTCAGACAAGAGCAAGAAATGAAAGCTGAACTTGTAGCATGGGAACAAGAAGAAAGAGAACGTGCTTTGCTTGAACATAGAGAAAAATCTACCCCTGAAAAAGTAAGACCCAATATTAAAGAAATTAAACAATATAAGCAATTTTTATTAATCAATGTGATATTAATTTTAAAGTTGAATATTTTCAAATTGAACAGGTATTAGATGTAGTAAGAGCAGCTGAATCATTAGTAAGCAAATCAAGTAGTCCGGTTGACATGGTTGTACCACCAAAGTCACCAGGTGGTACAAAAGATCTCAAAACAACCACTATTGTGATGAGCAAACACACTTTAGCACCTCAAAATACAAATGTAAGTATTTTTCATGATATTAAAATAATACAAATTTTAAGTTGAAATATTACTATATCTGCATGTCTCTATAAGTATAAATTAACTTGCAAGCAGTAGTTTGCTTTTATTGGTATATAATAATAATAATAGCTATAGTATTTGAATATTTAAGAATTCTTTTGTGGAATTATATTGTTTAATTTTTTTATTCAACCTTACAATCATTTTAAATATTCAATGTATATTTATAAATAATGGTGGTTCTTGCATAAATGGATGCTTAACTTTATATAACTATTACCTCTTTATTTATTTATATTCTTCTTTTACAAATAATTAAAAAATTGCTACTTTTGATTTTATGCTTTGTTTACACAAGATGCATGACTTTAATAATTCACGTTTTTATTGAGCACTATTTATTTATTTGCTCATATTATATGTACGTATACGTATACATATGTTCATGGGTGCATATATTATACATGTGATTTATTAACAAAATATTCTACATTTTATTAATGGCACTGGAACAAAAGGAGAGACGTTTGAAAATTTCAATTTACAAATTAAAAAATATAGAGAAGTTAAAAAAATAAATAACTTTTGATCAAGAAATATTATTATGGTACAATGTGGTGTTAAAGAAAAAACGTTGCTCTTCCCCTTGTGTACATTCTTATATGGTAGCATAAGCATGGACGTTCATTCTTACATAAACATACTTTATTTCTTCTTATTAAATACTATAGACCTATATGTTTATTTCTGCACACCTTGTGAAAAGAATAAGAAACCATAATCTAATAACAAATTACTAATTTTTATTTATCTGTAAAGAAGAAACAATATTAACTTTTTAATTTTTGTTGCCCTTCGAATGATTGTACATTTTACATAAGTTTATATGAATTTCTCAGTTTGATATCAAATAGATTTATTATTTGTCAGTACTCATACACTCATCATAAATCTTATTTCTTATTTTTAATATATGACGCATGAAATGTACATTTGTCAGTGTTCTTAGCGTCGCATGCTCTCCTGAGCGGCAAAACAAGAGATGTTTCACATGTTTGCAGACAGTGGAAGGTGATAGCGCTACTTTGGCTGCCCTCTAACAGGAGTGAGTCGTTCGACCCTCTACTCATTTTCCCTGTGTCTACGTCCATACCTCTGAATCCGCGGGACTGTGCCATAATAAAATTATTCTAAGGAATTCATGTCGTTAACTCGCATAATCATGGTGTTTATTGCGTTTCATGAGTATCACTATTGTACAATTTAACTATCGTTACTCCGTTTGTTACTGATACTGCCATTATAACATTAAGTGTAATTATTGCGAATATGCTGACTGGCTAGGTTGATTCTCTGTGATTGGTTTCTTATTTTGGTCCAAGAATGGGGTCAAGATTTTAATCATCACGAAAATGTGATATCGTCTTTAACTACAGACTCTTGTGTACATATTCATCACTCCTTCGTTCATGAATATCGGTTGAAAGATGAACATGAAAAGATACTTCTGTGATAGGTAGACAGATGTCATAGACGACAAGAACTTCCCACGTATTTACCGAATATTTTTTAGCGATATTTGTACATTGATTCTTAAACTTATTTCACAATCTATTTTGAAAGATTGGAAACGTATGTTGGACGACTACTGCAATTCATTAAGCTTAAAGAAATTAGATCAACTTCTGGGTACTGGATCAAGAATTATTGAAAGTAAGAAAAGATATAAGACAGCAAATAATTCCTGTTCCAATATGAGTGGCAAGTAACAAGTGTATTATGTTTCTATAAATTTTTATAATAATATACTTGAAACTTACATCACACTGAAGACAGGCATTATTGACCTTTTCCTTCGTGATACACGACTTGATGACTGAGGAAGTAGAAGTCTATATTCTTATCTAAAAAAATAATAACTTCCAAATTATTATATTTAGAGTACTTTTGATATATTATTTTTAATGATCTTATTTGTTTAGTATTCTCTATTTATATAGTGTTAAGAAAAAATCAGTAGTTAATTTTATTGATATTTTTACAAATATTTTGGTATACTATGTAGAAAATATACTAGAACTGTCTTTTTTATTTTAAGCTAGAATATTTTACTACTACCAGTAATGTAAGCATTATTATATCGTAGAGGATAGCTTTTATGTTGTAATTCACAATTCATTTCATGTTTCATTCATTTAAAGCTGTATATCATTGAAAACAAAGATAATAATCAATGCGTGTATCACTAAATAGGGAGTGTACCCAAAAATATCAAGTTTTAATTATTTATATTACTATATAATGTACAGTTAAAGTAAAAGAAACAAAAGTGAAATACAACTTCTATTGAGACATAAAATATTATTTGATAAGGTATTTGTGCATCTAACATTTTTTTGTAAGTTATAAATGCCAGCACTCTTGGATGGTTACTTCTACAGTAAACTCATATCATTATTAAAATATAAATCAATGTACTGTATTCTACGAATGTTCTATAAATGTTATATGTTGATATAAATCTAATGGACCAGATGTTTATATATTATTACAAAGTATAAAGATAAGATAGTATTTATCTAATTATAAAAAAAGAATTATATATATATATGTTAATGTTGAAGTTCCAGTTGACCGACATAAAGATGAAATACATGCAGTGCTTTATTCAAATGTATCAATGCGACAGGTTCTTCTGAAAGTGAATTGCATTTTATCCCATTAGTGCTATTAACTACAAGAGAATACATTTTTCATGTTCATATTTAGTAACGCAAAGATCACAGTTCCTGTTATTGAATTATAATTTGGGATAAAAGTTACCTAGTTATGACATTTCAGAATATCTTATGGTGCATTGATATATATGAAAAGGTGATGGATAGAGGGTACAAATATGAGGTAACTTTATAAAGTCGATTTTAATATACTTAAAATCATTGGAAGGGTATACAAATAAAAATTATGCGCAAAGCTGCATTAATTGTTGCAATAATAGTACAATTGATATAATATTGAATGTATAGATGGTAAAAGAAGAAAAATATTGAATGAATAAGTTCAAAACTGATTCCTTTTTAATTCTAATATAGATTTTGTATGAGATGTAGTATTGGAAATAAATCTGTTTTTTGAAGTATAGTTACAAATTTTATAAAAAGTAAATTTATTAAACTCAAAGGATGCAGAAATGAGAAACGTTTTCTTATTTGATAATTTCTTATATTATGATATAAATATTACACATTTTTATTTCTTGTTAATCAATTAGTTGTCAGAAATTATTTTGTTAATCTGTTGTATATAGTTGTATATTTACATAGTGCCTAACTAATAATTTCGCATTTTTACTGCATTCTATATTCCAGTAGAAAATTATTTTAACTTTACTAATACAAATCTTCATGTTATTTACTCAGTCACTGAGCAAAGAGAGAGATGGAACTTCAGTGGACAGTCCAACGCCCCAATCTCCGGTCTCTACTCTTACTTCATCAATGAATTTCGATCGCACTACTGCTGTCCAAAGCTTGCCCTCTCCAAAGAAAAAAAGTTCCATACCGAAACGTAGTATTACATTTGCTGATCTTCCTCCCAGTTCTAGAAAAGAACCAATTAATTATCCAACTTCAACAAATGAATATCCTTCATCTTTGCATGATAATAGATATATTTCTGATCCTCAAATTACTTCTTATAAGAAAATCTATCAAAATCCTATCCAAAGTACTCAGTATTCATCTCGTTCCAAACTTCCTCCTACACCTTTGACTGCTCCTCCATCCATAGGAGATTATGGCACTTCAGTCCCTTTTGATAAACGACAGAACGCACGCTCTGTTGGTGGGAGTAATCAGGTTGAGGTGGGTTTTAAGAAGCATGTTTAAAAAATCTAGCACTAATGCACTATCTTTCCTTGTTCTTTACCAAGAATGTTGGAGCGTTTAAATCGCAAAATTTTATTGCATAAGAATTGTAACACCCGTGTTAACAAAATTATTTGGTATTATTTAAATACAAATCAAATGCATGTAGTAGGTTCAAATGTGCATATTGAAAGTGGAATTGTTATAAAAAAGATAGATTAAAATTTATATTTTTATAAGGATTATTTTTATCAAATATTAATGTGTTATTTCAAAATACAGCTTTCACCAACACCATCACCAACACCACCTTTAGTGAAGATGTCAGTTAGCGATAAAAAGAAATTGTTTGAAAGTGCCATGGAGGAACATTTGAAACCTTCCCCTAAGCCAGGTAGATATTATTTTATATATTTATATAAACAAATTGTAAATACGATATATTATTTTTGTATTCATTATCATTTTTCTAGAAAAAGTATTCAGTTTTCTAAGTCAAGATGAAGTTGAAAAGATGAAACAAGAAGAAGGTACAGTATTCGTTAATTATATTATTAAATTCTTAATTCGTACAATTAACAAATATTATTGTGCATTTTCAGAAAAGAAGATAGCTACTCTAACGCGGGATGAATTAAAATCATGGGCTCAACTCGATGAAAACGAAGGCTTGGAAGATTTAGAGGAAACATTAGAAGATCAGGATAACCGGCGACCTAAGTAAGCTAAGTTGTACTCATTCTACGCATTTGAACGTGTGATTATTAAAATTTTTTTACCTTATTATTTCTTTCTTGTTTCCACTTCATTGTGTCTGCATATTACAACAAGAAAAATAAAAGAGAATATACTGCTTAGTAAAAAATTGCATACTTGATGCATTAATGCTAAAAAATATGATGGCTATAAAATTGATGTTTTGAAATTTTTGCAGCTCTAAAAAATAATATCTAATAATCTAATTATATAATAATACAATCTCATTTCAACAAATTTTACTCGGCCATAGAATTTTTTTGCAACAATATAACTTCTTAAATAATGCCCATACAAAATATTGTAGTAATGTATTAAAAAGAACAAGAGAACAGAATTAATTTGCTTTACATAAATGAGTATTATAACATTTTTTTCCATTGTAGTACGTATTCTGTATATGAAACTATGAAATAATGTAATTATCTTTCAGTTGTAAGATGCTAAACATATCTGTCTATTATACGTGTATTGTACAAGACAGGCAATTATCTTTCAATTGAAAAATGATTGTGTTTATATAATTACCAAATATTTTACGAGTATTAATTGTTAGTTTAAATAGATATTCTTTATATATTTAGTAAAATTGTATTTTTATAGTAAAGTTGTAGTTTAAAAAGTACTCCGACGTTTCATACAAAATGACTGGACATCGTGTATATATCAGTATTTTTTATACCTGCGATAAATATTATATGTATATATAATTTATATCAGTGCTTTTGTTGTAGTTGTTACTTCATCATAAAGCGTGCATGCTCATTATAATTATCGTATAAATGACTTTGCTAGGGATTAGCGACTGCTTTTTTTTATAAAATAACGTGTATTTGTACATAGGCTTATGAAATTCACATTCACATTGTACATTGCAGTTCAGGTTGTGGTTGTGCTTACACAGGCATTTACTGCACATTATAATTACATGTTCCATTCTTCAATAAGACCAAATCATAAGTTTATAAAAATTATGTACATCGGAATATAATTTTCACAAAAACTTCACGCTTTAATACATTTTCTTCACACGCATTGCAAGCGCACTTCAAAGATTCCAAAGAATAATTATTATTTATCTAATGTTAATACTTGCTTCCATTTTCATCTATATGAATGTCTTATCACCTCTTAAATCCATAATATAAAAATAATTCTTCTTTGGAATCTCTTAGCACCGATTCAATCACATTATTCGTAGATTTATAGTTGATGTGTGGTGTAGTCTAATTTTTTTGTATTGTTATCTCGTTTGTATATAAGTCGTACAATATTTTTTTAGCCTTTGTATTGAACGTTGCTTTTGTACTTCTTCTTTTAATGAATAAACATTAAAACTGTGGCACATGTATATGATTTGTCAGTGTGCATGCTCGTTACCTTGCAGTAGCCGACTGAGTTCGCGAAGTTCGATCCCCCTTCTGCAGAATCTTCCAAGCAGTGTAAGGACAGCAAAAGCAGAACGTCGCTTGAAAGAGAGACTGATACAGGAGGTATTACTTTTTAAATATATTTTTATCATTCAAATTCCTCATTTATCATAATTAAATATTCCAAATTGTTCTGTATTTTAAATAATTTTGTTGAGACACTAATGTTTAAAATGACTTAATACGGATATGATATTTATGTTTCTTATTCAATTTTTTATTGCATAGGGTATAATTTCTGATGAAGATGAAGAAAGTCATTTGAGTCCTGCTGAACAAAGAGCACTAAGGGCAGAGAAGCGTGCAGCATGGAGACAAGCACGTTTAAAATCTCTGGAACAGGTAATTATAATGCTCTTTTTCACACCTGGAAAATTCATATATTAAATAGTATTTACATTTATTCGCATGTTAAATGGTTATATTCAGGATGCTATTCAAGCACAGATGGTAATTAAGAAAATGAGTGAAATGATGGATACTACAAATAAGGCAGATCCTACGCAGGATTCTACAGATGCTGTTACTGTTGTTCCTGAAACAGAAAAGACAGCCGATGTAAGCATTTGTAATGTACCTTTGCTCTAGTCATACCACCAGCAAACTAAAACAATGAACATAATCTAACGATGTGTTTAAAACAGATTAACCAGCATTTATTTATTGTACTACTAATTACTTCTTTGCTCGCCAGTAGTTCTAACTTAGTGTTCGTACATTTACAATGTTATGTTAACTACAGTGGTACCCCCTTTGTCTGTCTTACTATCATAGTTCACTACGTTACGGCCGTCTAGTGCAGATTTCCCCAAACTTGCTGTACGCAGCAAGGTGGGTCCCCCTAAAGAGATACGCGAATCCGAGAAAGTAGTGGACGAGAAGGTCACTCGACGTACCGAGGAATACGTGGATGAGGTGACGGGTGAACGGCGTGTCCGTACAGTCGAATACGTCGAGAAGCTCATTGAGCGACAGGTATTATAAATTCTAGAGTTTGCACAAAATTTAAGCACCGAATATTATCTGTTCACATCATCGATTCGAGACGTGTTTTAAGTGAAGTTCAATTTTTTAACTGTTGTACTGGAACTTCAATATGGCATTGGCATTTAATTGATGAATGAAAAAGTACCAATATAATATTGTTATGGAAGCTTATACTGTAACTAATTAAAATTATTGGAAAATTACTATGGTGTGTAATATAATTACAATTCGAAGTTTTAGTACAAGCAATGACATAATAAAAAGAAGTTCAAAAATCAAATTAAAATATGGCAGATCATGATTTATTGGGGCACTATGTTAATGCTCCAATTAACATAATTAGGAAAAGGTGATATTCACAAAAGTTTGAAGGGAAAAGGGAAATAAAGTAGTATTTTTTTAGAGAGAAAGAGAGAATATGTGTTGCTTGTGAACTGTGTCTTATTTGTGTGTGTGCGCTCATATATTTATAATTTTAGAATAATCATGTGTGTGTATATGCATGCTGCTTTAAAAAATATTTTGCTTTAATGCACAAGAACCCAATGGAAATACTAGTTCAATGGTTGTATTTGTTGTTCCAAGAATCCAGCACTGACCATGGAAGTGCAACCTGCACCACCTTGAGCAATTGATTTCATTTCTACTGATCACTAACAAACTCTTCTCGTACTATTGGTAATGCTACTCTTGATCTTTCTTATCCACTACTTACTTAAGCATGTATAAAGGTATTTTCTTTTCAAATAATATTTTACTATAATTATTTTGGTGGTATTGCTATATATCAAGTACTACTACTGTAAAAATGTTATAAGTTTCATCCGATTCTATAATATATTTTTTTTGTCGTACGTTATATGTCGTACGTTTATTGTAATTAAATTAATAATTACACGTATCAATGCAGAAATTTCTCTGGTCTACTTCAGCATTTGCAATGTATATATTTATGTAATTAGGTTGAAACTCTACGAGAAAAAATTATATCATTGGAACTAAGTAATGCAGAAGATGAAGTAGAAAGTATTATCGGAACAGGAGCAAGCGATGCTGAAAGCGAAAGTGAAGAAATTACTGGACAGCCTTCTAATGTGAATACCATGCAAGAGAAAACTGAAACAATTATACCTACAAGTGCCACTGAAGATGCCGCTCCTAAAATAAGTGCAAATACTATCCTTGTTTCAAAGAAAAAGAAACGAAAACGTTCGAAAAAAGGTCGTCATTGACCTCAGATAAAAATGTTGGTGCAAAATGAAGAAAGACATATGGAAGAACGATTGTGAAATATTTTCTTTTTTTTATTATATCATTGTGAAAGTGTGTTCTAATAATGCATACTTTGCATTACATCAATCTACTTCATGCATTTCAGAATTCAAATCCTTACTATATTGGTGCATATAATATTTAAAAGATTCCTCATTGCGTGCTGCTTTTTTTGAAGCACACATATATATACATAATACATAAAATATAATTTCATATTCACTATTTAACATAACTGATTAGGTATATTCAGAATTATGTTTATTTCTTTCATAGATCGTGCTATGTTTCTAATATTAACATAGTGAAATAATGCATGTGTGATTAGTATTATCGCATCATATTTTTATCTGGATTGGTGCAACATAGTAATTGTAACTAGCGCAATCGATTTCCTTATTTCTTTATACATCATAGAATTTGTATTTTATACTTGTTTCATAAGATTTGTCTCCTGCGTAATACCGATAAAAAGTATTTTAATGGCGAAAAAATTAGAATATAATATCAAAGTAGTATTTTTACAGTCAGTACTATGATCATATACCCTATGAAATATATTTACTGAAATCGGTTTATACGAAAAATTCATGTGATTCAATATTCGTTGTTCTATATAAAATGATACACATTCCTTTTTGCAATTTTTGTTTTGTTTCGTAGTTTAAATAATATATTTTAATATAAGCAATTCCTCAATTTAAATAGGAACACAGGAGCAGTATTTTTGGTCACTGAAACGAACAATATACAAATGAAAAGATTTTAATCAAATTGTAATAAACAATTGGTTTTCAGACATATGTAAAATATGTTATTAGTTAGCTTAAAAATGAAAAATAACGTAAACTACAGCTATTTGTTGTGGTTTGTAAAGTATTTTATTTATTTTCCTTTAGTGATAAGTATATTAATATATATGTTATGTAAAATTATTTTGATATACTTTAAGATTCATTTTAAAAAGCACATATATTTAATCTCATTGTTAAATATCGACATAGTTTTTGATCATTCATCATTAGGAAGAAATTTATTTAAAGTTTATTATCCATTCTAATGTCAAAGTTGCCACTAAAATGTAATAAATACCAAGTATTAAATTTTTTAATTGTTTAAAATATATTATTACTATACATATTCATGATTTCGTTCTTTTAAAAATTTTGTTGTTTTAATTTATTTATACTAACGATAGCTATATTTTATCGTTAACATATTTTATTTCACAATATATTCAATAATTTCATGATTAAACAATGTTCTCGCATATTCAAAAGTACACAAAAAGAGTTAGCCAATATGTAACAAATAGATGTAAAAATAGCGGAGATTTGAAGCAAGATTAAAATCTTAACTTTATTAAAAGAATAAAATGTCGACTACAATTGAAGAAGCGGAATATATAAAATATATGCTGTTTCTTTATCGCTGACTATAACAGTACCTTCTAATAAATATGTATGTGTGAGATTACAAAAAATATAATTTCTATATAAAAACTTCTATGATAATGTTAAATACTTTGTAGGTATATTATCTGGTAATATAAACCAATAATATTTGTAATCTCATATAGTTCAAAATATTTACCTATGTTGAAATTGCAACATATACAGGTAAAAAAAATTGAAAATCATAGTAGTTTTACTATTTGTGTTTTAGATATAACTTTTTGTATTCTTCATATGTTTGCAATAGTAAGATGATTCGTCTTAAATATAAAAATATCATTTTATATAGATCATATACATTCTTCAGTGAAACAGACCATATTATTAGTATTAAGATCTTTGCAAATTATACAGATAAAATTAAATATGTAGCATAAGTAAACATTAATTGAGACAAGTATACTATTAACTGCGGTGTAAAGTGCGATTAAAGGAGCGGGACCAATTTATTAAATTATTCATAAGATTGTAAAAGAAAAAATATATGCAAAATATCTTTTTTCCAAATAACTGTTATATATAGTTTAATGCCTATTGTCAGCATTATAATTGGTCTTGGCATAATCTTCTGGAATTGTATGAAAATTATAATGTGCCAACATTAACTATATCTTTATAACGGTTTAAAGTGTAAACACTTTTCAAATAGGATTTGAAACCTTTTTGTAATATTACGAGTAGCATAATATGTAGAAAACATTGTAATAATTATAGTGTTAAATATCGTATAAAATACTTTTAACAAATTATAAAATTTTATTAAAACAGTTCTCTGAAATTAAATTCATAACTAAATTAATTAGAATGTGAATTTTTTAAAAATCCCACCATTTTTTAACACTATAACATGTTGACAAATCATATCATGTTATGAACTTGTATTATTCTTAATTATAAATGATAAACTTACAGTTGGAAACTCCTATTTTAGAAGTACTTTACATCGACGTTAAATCCAATAATAGGCATAATTTGTATGTACTTTTGGAATCTTTGTATTTGTCTTTACTTTAATAATTAATTATAAAAAGAAATATTACATTCTGCCACGTATATTTTATATTTTGATAATACAGTATATCTGGTTATATTGAATAATAAACTGAAGCTGCTAATTTATATAAATAATAAAGTTTAAAAAATGTATTTTATACAATATGACAAAAAACATTTCATATAACTATTACCATAATATTTGTGGTACTACTATATGTTGACAAATTAAAAATGTATTTATTTATCTATGTTTTCTATTGAACAACATTTATACGTCTTACAATGTTCAACAAATTTGTAAACGAAAGATATATGTGCAAATTAATTCAAGAAATAAGAAAATAAATAAAATATCTTAACGTTTTTATATTGGCCTTATTACGAAATTAAAATAAATGGAATTGAAAGTATTCATAAAAAATAATGTATCTTCTTTTATCGTGCATTATCATTTATGCTTATTTTATCTCTTTGGCGCAATAATTCCCTCTAACTGTGCCTGAAATAAAAATAATGCTAAGCAATGAAATTTTTACAGTTGTCTAGGATTCATATAAAAATTGTATATAAATATTACTTTCAGCTGCTGATTTGTCTTTTTCAAAAATTGTATTTCTTCCATGTGCTTTTTTTCTTCAGCTTCCCGTAGTTCAGCTGCCCTCCTTTCAGCCTGTTCAGATTTCTGTTTTAATTCAATAACTGTTTTTTCTAATTCAGCCTTCTGTAATTGTAGCTCATCTGCAGCAGCAATTAAATCTTCTTTTCCTTGTTCAGCCTTTAAAAATCATGTTGAAATTATAACATTTCTTAATGTACATCTTCTTGTATATTAAAAAAATATAGTACATACTTGTAAAGCTTTACGCATACCAAAAGCAATACTGCTTTGATACAAAGTTTGGTATGCAGCTAATGTCATCTTAAGTTCGTCTCGGATTCTAAGTAAAAGTAATCCACGTTCTGCACAGTTTATTGTCACCTGACGTATTATTTCATCTATTAAACAGTATTATTAAACAATTATAATTTTAATAATATGATACTCAAAATTAACGTCCAATTAAAGACTTTTACCAAAACATTGCGTATAAAGTTCTCTACGTACTGGACAAATGCCAGTTTCTCTTGCTTGTCTTTGTTGCAATTTCATGTCTAGATGTTCTTGTAAATTAATAACATCTAGTCTTGTTGCTGGTATACTTGATATCTGATATGAAATAACATATTACAAATTGTAGTACATTATTTATCAAAACATAAAAATACCATACTTTCTGAGTCCAAACTTGACCATCCTCTTCCCATTGTTTGGGTGGCAAAATTCTATTGAGAATTTCAGAAGTTTCATGTCTTGTATCAAGCGTAGGAATAGTGGTTTCAACTTTACAGATTGTTACTCCGATTTTGGGTGCTTGTTCTTTAGGTGCCTATTGTAATAAGAAATGTTGGATGATTTTTAATAAATTATAGATATAACTAGTTTGATAATAGTAAGAAAAATGGTATTTGCTTTATTGGTGAACATTATACCTTTTCTGGACGGACTGTAACTAAGACTGGATTATCGTATTTAACCAAAGTATCCATAGTAGGAATAATGCGATCTTTTATTGCCGTTGCCATTATATTACTGATTTATCCGGGCTTTATTCGTTAATAATCAATATATTCCAAAGAAAGAAATCGTTTACAGGCATTTATAAATATTTAATTGTTTATTTCCACTATAAAGCGAGTTTGAATCTATGAACAATTGTCATAGCAATATTGATGTAACATATGTTACTAAGTAAAATATAGTTAATACAAGAGATTAGGGAAGAGCTTAATGTATGAATTAGATAATATAACTTTTATTATTGTAAACATGATAAAATCATATAAATTATTTATGTAATATTCTCTTATGTATGTAATTATTTTTAAAAATATATCATGTACATGCAATATAAAATAATACAATTTTCAAATTAGATCTTTGTAAATCTCAAATTCGTATAAAAACTTTTTAATATCTCTACTAAAACTACTAAAATAACTTTTAGTTACAATTAAACTATTATAAAAGTAATAATAATATTTGTGTAAATTTGTTGATATGTATATTATAGTTCAGAATGTCTTTGCAAAATCCTTGTTTCAAGATCTGCATGAAGCTTTTGAACAGTTCTCGAGTGTTTTTTAATATGATGTTCCATAGTAGAATTTTCTACATCATACGGTTTTCCTTGACGTGCGGCTTCTAAAGCAGCTTCCGTGTGTAAATGACGCAATTTCAACAATCTTCCTTCATAGTGTAACAGTTCCTCCTAATAATAAAATACAATATCAATAATATATCAAGTATAGAAATAAAATACCAATAGTTATACGTGTATATAAATACCTTTAACGAAGCACGTTCTTCTGGAGAAAATTGAGATTTTAATACAATACGCCATAAGTCTTGAACTTTTGGTTCTATAAATTCTTTATGATTTGGTCCTTTTGCAGTTAATCTATCCAAACGATCAAATCCATTTCTAATTTCCAAATGTTTTCCTCTGAAATTATACATTTACTCAATTCAATTATACATTTAAAAGTTAAATTATATGTTCAAAAGTAGTGAAATATCCACTATATTTTTGTAATACTAATTATATATGTGCAATATCCATACCTAAGTAAAGATGCTTTTTCTAAATAATCTAACTTTTTTTCAGGAATCTTGTTAGAAATTTCTTCCTTGTGATCTATTTCATTCCAACTCTCTGGTTTATGATGTAGACTGTCTGTATATATGAAATGACAAATATGAAATTTATTTTACTTACTTTCAGTTATTGTATTTTATAATATACATATAATGTAATTACTAACTTTTATATGTTTCTGGATCACCAGCTTCTACATCTTTCAAAAGATTCATGTATTCATCCACTTTATCTTGGTGATGTTGAAACTCTTCCTTTAGAGTTTGTAGTTCTTCATCTATATTTTTATTATGTTTATTAAGTACAATTAAACAATGTTGAGATTAAAAATGTAAATAGTTCTCTTACATGGCACTTACGTGAAAAGCCTGCCAATTCAGCTTTAGCCCACAGTTTGTTTAATCTGCTATCTTTAAAAACATCTCTGGAAATATAATTATTACCATCATTTAAAGCTTTATGTCTCTTTAATAATTCTGGGTTCTCTGTATCTTCAAAGTACTCCAATAACCCATAAGTGCTCATAATTCCTTTAAAAAACAAAAATTCAATACAAAATACATGTTATAAATATATTAAAGTCATCTTTTGTTCCAGATTACCAATTAATTTTTTCCTTAAACGTGCTTCTTCTTCACCATTCGGATCTTTTCCTTCAGACTTAAAATGTTTATACGCAATTTCTTCTTTATCGTGGATTTTCAGATCACTGAATATTGACTGCAGTTTTGTATCTGTCAACCGCTACAAAAAAAATTAATCTGTATGTGTATATTTTTACATATATTAATAATATATCTTTACATATATATATATATATTTTTACTTATATATTTTTAAATATATTAGTAATATATCTTTGTAATATATTAATTCTTACATTTTTCGCTTTTACCCATAGTACATTTAATTTTGCCATACGAAATGGTTTGTCCAATTCACGAAGAGAGGTTGGGAATTGTAAAGGATCTTCATATTTCGGTTTATTTGCTTCTACAGAATATTTACTAAATGCAGCAGTTATATGAAATAACAGAACACATAAACTTATTGATAAAAAGGTCCTGCTTAACAATGCCATAATCTTTCACTTTCAACAACTTCGTCTACTTCCGTATAGAATACAAAATTAGGTATGTGATCATTTGCTGACATATGCAGATAATCATCTTCTGACATATACAGATTCATTTGATAGGCTTTTGCAGAAATATATACATATGCATTAGGAAAATAATCTCTATTTCAGAATCTTTTCAGTTTATTTTCTTAATTGAGAGGAAAAAAGTATATGTATAAATATTATGCCGTATCATAAATATTTATTAAAATCAAAAGTAAATGTAGTGAGTTCCTTGGTAATCACATTTAAAAATTTTACATTGTTTCCATTTGTTACAGAGAATTGTCATATACAATTTAAGAATAAAAACATCATCAAATTGTTATGCATTGAAATACTGCTAATACATAGGATTGTATGCTTATAAATACAAGAAAGATTAGAATTTTAGTAACAATGAAATAATTACGATTTGTAGGCATTATAATCATTGACCACAATATATTATGTTACAAAATATATTTATAAATTGCACGAGCATTATCGTATTTAAATCTTTTTTCTTTTCCTGAAGCAACATTTAAAGCTTAACACATATTACGTAGTAACACATTCTATATCAAAATTCAACTGCATGAAATACAATAACAATCAAGGAATATAATTTCTTCAAAATTGATTTTCAACATATAATTTCTTTACTGCTCGATATTGGACAGATTGAAACGTATTTCGCATTAACTTCCATAACGTTATATCATATACATTTTTTTTTTCATTCTTATAAATTCCGCATGCTATATTATGCAATCACAGTATACGTATATAAAATATTATTCATTCTTCAAAACGGATGTCCTTGGCGAGGATGTTGATTACCGCCATAACGTGGCAGAGTTGCGTATCCACCATAAGGAGCTGGAGGCATATTTTGATACGGATTATAACCTCCTAAAAATAAAATTCCAAATATAAAGTATATTCCGAAATGTCATGTAACAATATGAATGACTCTGCATTTTTTATATCACCTTGCGCGGGGTAAGGCATTGTTGCATATGGATTATACGTTGTAGGCATAGGAGGGGAGATATATGTGGGATATGGTGTAGTAGGACCAGGTCCATACGGTATAGGCATTCCACCTTGGAAATGCGTAGGATACGGTAATTGCGATGATCCACTTTGTTCTATTCCTGATTGGCTTTGTCCGGATGTTGCTAAATATTAAAATTTTTTTTTTAATAAACTGTGTAGAGAATACATGCAATATTATTTATAAAAATCTAATCTATACCTCCGTGATGAGATGGAATGTTAGGAGTTGGAGTTGGCCCAGTATGGCTCAAATTTGTTGTTAAATCCTTCAGTAGTTCTTCTTTCTCAGTTTTCCGAGCAAAGCAGAAGTCCGATATTTTATTTTGGAAGACTACTAGCAACTATACAAATATAAGAAATTATAAATTTTAATTCTAATATAACATGAAAGGATTATGATCAGCTATTTACCTGTGTTAAATCATTATAAAATTTAGCACCTTCGTTTAAGTTGCCTTTCAATTCTTTAAATGCATCATAAGCAGCTGCTAATTTACATAACATTGCTTCTCTTGAACTACCTCTACCAGATTGTTCGGCTGTAAATTGTGTATGACACATCTAAAATTGTTTTTAAAATTAGTATGTATCATAGGAAATATTGTAAATATGCAAAATAATTATTACAATATAATTTTGTAATCCTTTATACATACCTGAATCTCAGCAATTAATTGTTCTTGGCGAGCAACGCTATCTCTCACTTGTTTTTGTAAAGGTCCATAAGTTTTTCCTATGCTTTCAACTGACAAATTTGGTTCATCAATTCCGCCATCTTTTGCAAGTGCTGACAAGAACGTTGCTTTCATATCGGTAATAGCAGATTTCAGTTCACTTTCTATAACATCGCGTTCTGTTTTTAGTGTTTCAATCTTAAAAGAAATTAATAGCATAAGTAATCTAAAAAAATAATACAAAAAATATAACTTTGCGTAAGATACCTACATCTTCCATTAATTTCCTAAGTTGAACAACAGTATTGGTTTCTTGAACTGCCGATCCAGTTGGCACAGCATTAATCAAATCATTTGCATGCAAACTTAAAGTTTCCATACTTTCCTTGTGATTTTCATATTTCTCGCGAACAACCTATAAGATATAATAATTATCTTAAAAGGTTTGATGTAAATAATTATTTCACAAGTCATCTTCCATGCATATATTCATACACGTTTACCTTATCAGCAGATACAGCATTATTAATAATTTCACGATATTTCCGTAGAGTAATAATAAATTGCTCTGTTAAACGACTGCTAGGTATTCTTGTCCAACGTTCTTTAAATTGTTCTCTTAATTGATCATCAGACTCACGTTCCTCTTGTAACATTCGTTCACACTATAAAAACAGTAATGATGAGAAAGTTATATCGAAAAAAAAGTATATAATCCATGCATTTCTTTACCTCGTCCAAAAGTTCTTTATTTCTTTGTAATAGATCAGGCAATTCTTTCATAGAATTTTCCAAAGCTTGAATTCCACCTGCATCTTTTACATATTGAGCCTTCTCTAATACAGATTGAGGTAACTCAGTTCCACTTGTATCTTCAATAGCAGCTGGTAAATTTAAACTTGCCAACACACTAAAAACATAATTATTAGACATCAAATAAAAAGTCAGCATTTAAATATATTTACATAATCATCATACCCGTTTAAAATTTGTGTCATTTCGCGTAATTTAGATATTTCTGAATTAACTAATTCATTTCGACGAACTTCATAAGATGATAATGCTTGATGTACGCTAACAGGTAATAAATCAGCAAAAAGATCTAAAATTATATAATGTATATATAAAAGAAATTATACTAAAGAACATTCTTTAAATTTGTTATTATATACAACAAACCTTTAAAGTTAGAGCTAAGAACTTCAGGCATTGATAACAGTTTTGCAACATTAGCTTTTCCAACTGGTTCCAAAGACTTTATATCTGGTATTCTTTCATGATAAATGAAATCATTGTCCTTTTTTACTTCTGTTAGATTCCTCTGTGCTTTGTTAGCATAGTCTTGGAATAAGTGAGATTTGTTTGAACGTTGTTGAGCAGCTTTAAACAATTCCACAGCATGCTAAAAATGTGCATTTTAATTAATTTTGACTTATTTTTATGTTTACATATTTAATATATTACCAACTTTTAAGATTTACCTCTAATCTGGCAATTTCTTCTCCAATTAACTTGTTATTCTTGCATACCAATGATTGATAAAATTCGGTCATTGCCCGATATCCAGCTTGTTTTCCTGCAATCTATTATTATTACGTTATAAACAATTATTTTATATATTTTGTATAAATTCCATATAAATAAAATTATAAATCCATACTAAAGGAACCCATTCTTTATCCCAAAATGCCCTGAAAATCTCCTTTTGAAATAATTTTAATGTATCCGCATACAGTTCTTCTGCCTGTGCAGCTAGTTTAGCAATAATCCCATTTTTCATAGCATCATGGATTGCTTTATGTACAAATATTTCTTGAGCCTGAGCAAGCATTAATGAAGATAATGCTCCTAATGTTTCTGGACTGATATCTGGTGTTGGTTCTTGTTGAATAGCCATCATAACATTTGCTTTAAGATAATTAAAGATACCAGCAGATTGCTAAAATTTATACAATATTTAGATAAATCATTTTTTATACCAAAGCAAATTGAATATTTATATCATTTTCCAATTATATCGTATTTAATTAATGGAATTAAAATATTTACTTGAAATAACTTTGCAGCCAGTTTCAATCCTTCATCACTTTCTAAAGACTGTGCTGCTGCAACTGAACTTTGCAAAGCAGCAATATTAAATAATACACAAACTTTTTCATATGCTAATGTACTAATTGCTGAAAAATCAAATATCATATATTATTTTAAATATCACAAAATCAATGTTATTTGAATTCAAAATATTGATGTAATCAGTAAGAGGTTTATCTTATCTTTATTTATTAATCAGTTAAGAATCTATGAAGAAGCATATTTAAAATATCTTACTTAAACTGAGTTTTCCACCAAATATGGTACGATCAAATGCATCTTTCCACTTAAATGGAATTTGTAATTCATGAGCAGGTATCTTGCCTTCCAACGCACACAACTGATCATAGTAACTAGAAAAAAGAAGAAAACATAAATTTGATTTAAAAAGATGTCATTACTTAGAAATTAATTTTTATTAATTATTAATGATATTATTTCATTATATTATAATAATTGCATATCTTTCAACATTAATTTATCAAAATTATATCAAAAGTGCAGACTTAATAAAACATCACGAATCACTAACCTTCGGTTGCTTTTAAAAATTTCTTCATTGGAATATTTCGTATTAAATGCAAATTTCATGAAGCAGATTATAATAAAGTAGTCACATTTTTTAGTGTACTGTCATAATTAAAATTAAAATAATAATTAAAGATGAGTCATACCTGTATATAACCTCCAAAGAACTTTCATATTTCTCGAAAGCTCGCCACAAAGCATTATTCCTTAATTTACTAAAATCTGCGATTGCTTCCGTATAATCTTTTTGATCGTTTGCGTTATTATACGTTGATTTAATAATATTTGTAAGTGGTTTAATTACATCAACATCAGACGGTTTCTTCAACGGTACCGCAATTAGCTCAGCCATTTTGACGTGTAGGTCATGTGATTGAGATCGAACAAAATAGTATATCTTGATACACACATCATACTTATATCTGAGGTATATGGTATACATGCATATCTTACACGTATTCAATACTATGACATTTATTTTATACTACTTTTAAAGTTTCACAACATTTTAAAGCTTTTTTATTTTTAATAAATATGAAGTAATATAATTTTGTTTTATGATAAGAATGTCGCATGGAATAGATAAATTTACGTTATTTTTTAATTTTTCAAACAAGTTTATAAATACATGTATCTACATATATAAGGTTCATATAGTACTAATATGATGTAACTCGTTACATATTATTATATCACTTTGATTTCTATACGAATATAAAAAGTAATTCCGAATTATACCCTTATATATTATATATCATTTTGAAATAATTAAAAGAATTCGCGCCTTCTTATATGTCGCTGGTTGTCATAAATTATCTACGTCATCTCCAGATGTTTGTAGATGAGATTTTTATAAGTGGTTTTGGTGAAGCTTTAATTTTGTTCTGTTTTGTCTAATTTGTATAAATTGAGGTAAGAATAAGTGATTTGCAAAGACGGCAAAGAATTATATGGGATAACGGAAATTTTACTTTACGATATAAAGTAAACCGTATGAAATTACTAAATTACTATCTATGTTCAAACTTCCTTAAAATGTATAATAACATTCGCTTACTACTCTAGAAAATATTGAAAAAGTAATGCAAATTTATTATAATTGTTCAAGGTGTTACTCGTTTTATTGTGGAATTTTATTCCCATATATTAACTTATGTAGAAAAAATAATATCGATTTCACCTTAAAGACATTGAACTGAGAAATCAAGGTTATTTTTTTTTTGTTCATTATCAATATATGCATGAAAAGATTTTTAAGGAAGTAGCATTATTGTTATGTGGTATGAAAGTTGAATAATATAATTCTAAGTATTTTTGATATGTAATATTTTATAATTGCAATTGACATGTAACAAACATAATATATATAACAAATATAAACATATTTGATGAATTATGAATCACTATAAATCATTCATGATTATTTAATCTTTTCACTTTCTGTAATGGTATTAATATTTTTGTTATTATATATTTATATTTATTTATACAGGTTAATTTTAGATCATAGAAATGACTCTGATCGAAGGTGTAGGAGATGAAGTAACAGATTTTTGCATTGTTGTGGTTGTGCTCTTAGTAGGATGGCTTGCCTGGTATTCCACAAGTATTACAGATCAACCATTAATACGCACAGTACTTGTAATACATCGAACACGCACACGTCTTGCTGAACTTAGAGCTACTCATCAAAATGCAAGCTCATTTACACGACCTCCAAATTTGGAGGTAACCGAAGAAGAAACTATAGAACCAATTACAGATGATGGTAATAGCACTTCACAAAGTTGTCCTGAACCATCTATTGCAGGTGATATGTCATATTTAAAAATACTTCTAAAAACATAATAGAAACATTAGAACTATTTATTGTCTGTCACAATAGACACAAATGGAGAAATTTCTCCTGACACACATAGAATGTCTGAAGCAACAGCTACAGAGGAAGTACTTATTGAAGCTATGGATTCATTTAATGATAGTGCAACAAAGTTGAAAAAACAAACCAAAATAAACGCTCCTAAAGAGACAAGTATATCAACATCAACGTGTAATGAACCCATAGAACATGAATGTGAAAATCTTTCAGACACTAATGAAATTAGCATAAAACTAAAGTTTATAAACGATGATCAAAAAATGGTTACTGGTAGCCTGAAAGAATTACTTGGGGATTTTAAGAGGTTTCTATTATTTCTTTTTTTAAATAGATTTTTCATGTTAAAAAATATTTATAAGTGAAATATATATAATGAATTTTTACATTTTTCAGGAGACATTTTCAAACGGAGCTTGATGCACAAAAATTAGTGCGTTTAGTTTTTAATGGTCGAGTATTGCAACCTGATAGTCAAACATTGGAAAAATGTGGCTTGTATAACAATTGTGTAGTTCATTGTTTGGTTCATCAACCACGACCAAATCCTGTACCATCTCAAGCATCAACATTAGATAATTCGTCATCAATATATTTTAATCCTCAATCATTTCCTGAGATTCCTGTTGGTACAGGAATTAGTTCAGTACATAACGAATGGGATTTGAGTAGACCATTAGTGATCATTTTGACTGTCATGTTAGGTTTTGCTTGGTATTCCCGATACCATTATGCTCAATTTTTTACTGCGAGTATTACACTCGCATTGTATGCCCTCACTGCAATTTTCGCAATGTCAGTAGCTTTAATATTATGTCATTAGTTAGTAATATCTTTCTCAATCAAGACAAGAGAAATATTGAATGAACTTATAACTTATAAGAAAGAAACTGATCAAGATATTACTTCGGAACATGATTTTGTAAACGTCGATATGTGTTTTTTAGTGTAACATCATTTGAACACATTGGTTCCTGACATCAAGAAGAACATGAAGAGTTATTGTGATTTTTAACAATGTATAAAAGAATTCACATGAATAAGAGGTGAGGTATACTTAGATAGTATGGTTGCATTTCAAATTTGAAATCAATTTATGTGCATTAAGCTCAATATTTTTATTTATATATTTAATTTAATAAGAAAATTTCTTTGGGTTTATATAAAATATCACAATTATAAATGGAAATATACATATAACATTAAATAAATTTGGACGATTAGTATTTTACTAACTATTATTTTACTAACTGTTCATTTAAATAGACATATTTATGAAATTAATTTTCGATAAATGTTATTGAACTGTTGAATTAGTCATAATAAATATTATAAACGATAATTGCAATGGCACTATATCATTTTGAACGCAAAATTTATTATATACTTATACATTCGTTATATTTTTTATTGAATTTAAAATTTACATTACCTATATGTGACTTAAACTTGAATATGCTTTGTAACTATTATAAATTACAGTTATTAGAACAAAATCATTATACTTTTATAATCTTCCAAAACTTCTAACATTAGAATGAAAATTACCTGTAATGATAACATTTTTTAAGTACCATTACGTGAATTGTTAAAAAAAAAATTAAAGTCATTAACAGTGTGTACATACATAACTCATAATGTAATAAGCAATCATAATTGTAACTTATTAGAAGATACACTTCATATTACTTCCAGAAAAAAAAATTCGTTACTTTTTCGGACAATGATGTCATTGAAGATAGTGATTTATCGTTACTTTTGCAATACACTGTACTATAGTAGTTTATAGAAAAATCAAATTATGTGGTACTATCACGATTTTTATTAAATGCGAAATAAATAGTTATTTATTTGATGTTTTCTCACATAAGTATATTTTATAGTTTATTGATTGATTTTATGTAAATAAAAATTTATTTTTCATTTGAATCTAATAATATTAAAAAATGAATTAAATAGAAAAAGGTATATTTGTATATTGTATGGTTTATAATATAATAATCGTTTATTTCTTAATTATAAAATTGTTGCAATTACATACTGTTCTTTACAAAAACTGAACAAGTCATAAAGTCTTATATAAAATAAATAAATATAATACATGAATAAAGTTACCACCAATCCAGAATTAATATTTAAATATGCAATGTATGATTTATAATGTATTTAGTACCAGCCTTAATTTAAATTTAAATGGAATTATTAAACCTTGAAAATCATTTTCAAAATGAGGTACGTAAATAAAAGATAAATAATTAATGAAAAATCGCTTTTAAATAGAAGTTAACTTAATTGTAGCGTCTTCCCACATAAATCGTTTAGCACTTTAGGTATAGGTTCAGAAACACTTAGTTTATTAAAGAAGATATTTAATTGTTCTTTTAACATTGTATTATTCAAACAAAAATTTCCTTTTGGATTTTCCAGGAGAATAGTACCTTTCCCTAATGTGCTATTGATATTAATAAAATTACAAACTGGTTGTTTTAATACTGTAGATGTTTCAGTTTCAGTAAAACCTATTTTCATTACTTTTATTATTTGTTTATGTAATGATAAAATATTTGTTTCCTCTGATACTGGTTTATTGTCGACGTGTAAATTATAAGCGCAATTATAAATACCGAATATTAACTCAATTTCGTGTTTTAATTGTTTGTAAGAAATAGGAACTAATGAATTAGAAGTTTCTAACAATATAGTTCCTACACAGCTAGTTGCTCCAAATCTTGGCTTTATACCTATAAGTTCAATGTTTACATATTTTAAAGAAGGTTCCACATTTATTTTGTTGTTTTCAATTTCGTCTATTTTAGTTTTTACTAAGACAAGTTTCATGTCAATGCCTTTAATCTTTTGCATTTCTTCTATAATTACATTCGCATCATTTGACATTTTTGATATATTCTCTTGTGGAGTTTTAGTTGCATTTTCGATAAAATCTTTGTGAGTGATAATTACTTTTGCCAAATTACTATCTTGATCTTGTATTTCATAATATGCAATGGCTTCATCTGATGGAACTAATTGAGCTTTCTTTCTCAGTTTTTGAATCCTATTGATTACTTCTCTTGCCACTCCTTCATTGTGCATGCTTTCATCAGGAGTAACATCTAGCAATATTAAAATATTTCCTTCGCTATGAGCCTCATATTGTTTACACAATTGTTCAGCTGCTGGTCCCGTGAAACTAAACATCAGACGTAAATCTTGTTCTTCCAATTTATGACCTTGGACAGTAATTTCTTTCTTCGCAACAAACATTTGTAATTCTTCATCAGAAAGCTCTTTAATAGCTTGAGTAACAGATTTAAATTCTCCTTTAAGGCGGGCTCCAAGTATTTTATGATCTGGTTCTGCTCTCAATTTAACACCATACTTCTCCTTATCTGTAGTAACAGTTAATTCTTTTACATTAAGTTCTTCTAGAATATATGATTTCAGAGATTCTACTTCTTTTAATACTTCAGCATCTTGATGAATTACTACAATTCCTGGTAATGGATATTTAACAGGAATTGTTTTCCTATCCCTGATAACACGTCCTAGTTCAATTATAGTTTGCATATAAGATATAGCCTTTTCAATCTTTTCATCTATTAATTGTAAATTAGATTCTGGTATCATTTGATAATGAACACTATCCATGTTAGTTTTAGATACTGAAAGTAATTTAACTAATCGTTGGAACATGAATTCTGTTAAAAATGGTGTAAATGGCGCATTTACGCGAACCATTATATAAAGAACAGAAAACAAAGTTGTCAAAGCTTGTTGGCAATCAGCTGAACCACCATCTCCCTTTATACGTTTCCTATTCATTCTTACATACCAGTTGGTAAGATTATCTATATATTTTATCAAGTGAGGTACTACAGTATATAACTTATAAGCATGCATTTCTTGTTTAAAAAATTGTAATAATGTCTGTGTAAAAGATAAAATCCATCTATCCATTATATTATTCGAACATATTTTTTTAGATTCATCATATATAAAATTAATTTTTTCTTCTCTTTCAAATCTTTCAATATTTTGCATTAAGAATCTAAATGCATTGTACCAAGGCAAGAACACATCTTTTATAATATCCCTAACTCCTTCTTCCTTGAAACGCAAATTTTCTGCTCTTACAACAGGAGAATTAATTAAGTATAAACGAAGAGCATCTCCTCCATACTTATTAATAATTCCCACGGGATCTGGATAATTTTTTTTACGTTTAGACATCTTTTGTCCATCAGATGCAAGTATCAAACCATTTGCTACTAAATTTTTAAATGGAGCTTTCCCAAAAAGAGCTGTTGATATAACTAATAAAGTATAAAACCATCCACGAGTTTGATCAATACCTTCTCCAATAAAATCAGCTGGAAAATTCTCTTCAAATTCTTTCCGATTTTCAAAAGGATAATGCATTTGTGCATATGGCATTGATCCAGATTCAAACCAACAGTCAAATACTTCAGGTACTCGTCGTAAAGGTGGACATCCTGGTCGGTTTGATGGTATAGTTAAATGATCTATACTTTCTCTATGAATATCTGTTACTTTTGTATTAGTCAATTCTTCCAATTCTGCTATACTTCCTACACATACAATTTCTTGCCCATCTTCTGAAATCCATAAAGGAATTGGGTTACCCCAATATCGGTTTCTACTAATAGCCCAATCACGAGCATCTCTTAACCAATTACCAAATCGTTTATCTTTGACATAATCTGGCACCCAATAAGTATTACTATTTGCTGTAATAAGTCTATCTTTTATGGCTTCTACCCTGATAAACCATGAGGGTACAGCTTTATATATTAGTGGTGTATCAGATCTCCAGCAATATGGATAACTGTGTTTAGTAGTACTACTATGAATTAATTTTTTATTTATCTGGAGATATTTAATGATATCCTTGTCAGCATCTTTTACATATTTTCCAACAAAATCATGTACTGGTTCTACAAAACATCCACAACTATCAATTGGGCATACGATTTCCTGATCTTTTGTTATGACACCAGCTTCCAAACAACACCGATAATCATCTTCTCCAAAATAGGGTGCTTGATGAACAATACCTGTTCCAGTCTCTGCTGTGACATATGTATCATTTAATACTACAAAAGCACCTTTCTCTCTTAGATTTTGAAAATATGGGAAAGGAGGATTATATACCTTTCCTTTCAAATCACATCCTTTCCTTTTACCTTGTACAGTATAAGAATCTTTAGATTTATAAACAAGTTCTAAACTTGACTCTAATATAATATAAACATTACCAGATGAATGATCTTTAACTTCTACATATTCAAAAGTAGGATTACAGCAAAGTGCTAGGTTGCTGGGTAGAGTCCAAGGAGTAGTAGTCCAGGCAAGGAGAGAAACACCTGGTTCATCTACTATAGCAAATGATACAACTATAGAAGGATCAACAACATCTTTATAATTCTGCCCTGACTCAAAATTAGATAAAGGAGTGTTACAACCCGTAGAAAAAGGCATTACTTTAACACCTTGGTATACAAGATCTTTATTGTATAATTCTTTAAAAATCCACCAAATGGATTCCATATACCAAGGATATAATGTTTTATAATCATTTTTGAAATCTATCCATCTGCCAATTCTACCTACAATCGTTTCCCATTCTGTTGCATATTTCATTACAATGCTTCGACATTCTTTATTATAGTTCGCTATACCCATTTTAGCAACATCATCAGGACCTTTTATATTTAATGTTTTATCTATTTCAAATTCGACAGGTAAACCATGAGTATCCCAGCCAAATCTTCTTTCCACGTGATAACCAGATTGATAAGCATACCTTGTCACAATATCTTTTATTGTTCCTGCAAGTATGTGCCCATAATGAGGTAATCCCGTGGCAAACGGTGGACCATCGTAAAACGAATATTTTGGTCTTCCTTTCGACAACCTCAAAGAGTTTTGAAAAGTATCACACTTTTTCCACAATTCTAAAATGATCTCCTCTTCTTTTGGAAAATTAATCGTCTCCGGAAGTTTTTCTATCATTTTTCTGAAAATTTCAACACTACTTCACAAATTATTTGGTACCGGCTGGTACGTTGATGCAATTATGAGGTTCAGGGTATCATGTATCAGAGGAAATACGTTACCAAAATTACACGTAACAAAATTTTAGAGGTTAGCGCTACGATTTGTAGCACGTGCTTTTGAAAAGGTGAACATGACATTCAAATTGACAATTCGAATAAAAATTATACTCTTTTATGTTTCCGAAATTCAATTTGGTTAAAAATTTTGGTATTTATTTTGGTATCTTTTACAATATATAAATAAAATCTAATGGAAATTTTACATATACATATATAAATGAAAAATTATATAAGTATACATATATTACTGTTAAGTAGATAAAATTTTCGCTTAATTATTAATATTATTAAATTTATTTTTGATATCATTTACGTTAAAAACATTCTTTATTTACATAATGAATGAAAACCATCTGTAATATAAAAATTGAAGATATTTATGACTAGAATTTTATAAACCACGACACTTCCACGTTCGTGGTGAAATAATCGTAGCTAAGACATTTACGATTGTTGCGTAACTTGGGGTATCTTCTGCCGTTGTCCACCAATACGGATAATTTGTCTTTGCTCATCTGGGTGAATAAGTTCATCTGTGTGCTTCCAACGCCACTTTTTTTCACTTTCTTTAATTCGTCTGTGGTCGATGTAACTAATAACGCAGCTAGTGGGAATCCACACAATGGCAGTAATAATTATAACAGCACCTACTATATTGTCTTTTAAAAATCGCATAACTTTGTTAATGTTTATGTCCTCAATAATATCC